GCCTCTCTATAGAATAACTGCTAAAAATAGACTTTGTTTCAATTTCTTTGAGCTCTGAATTATTTTTTAAACAGTCAGCTGGCTCTCTGGTTATTAGTCTATAGCTTTTAGCGGAATGTGCCTGATATGTATGAAGTGACTCACGAGGGCAAATCATTCCATAACAGATATAATCTCAACAAGGATTCGCTGTATGGAAACCATTTTCAGATCCCAGCAGACGGCTGCTTGATGATTTGGTTGCTACAAAATTCAATTCAGGCAATAAAATTAAATACTCTAATGAGTAACTTCATTATCAAGAAGGAACACCAGATTTCGAACTAGAAATCTCAGACCTGAGATTCAGCTCTGCCACTTTTAATCTTAGTGTAACTTAGCGCCGCTTTTAAATCTCTCATGTCAGATTTCTCAGCTATAAAACATAGATAATAACCATGCCTGCTTTCATAGAATTCACTGAAGTAAAAAATCTATGTGAAAATGATTTATATATTACAAGTACTTTATGAATCAGTTAAATATAGCTACCTGTTCTTCCTCAGCATCTGTCAGTTTGTCGTGCTGTGGTGGCTTGTGTGTTGTGATGCTGGAAGCTATGCCACTGGTATTTCACATACCAGCAGGTCACCCATGGTGGACAGGTTTCAGTGGAGCTTCCAGTCTAAGGCTAGGAAGAGGGACCTGGTGGTTTACTTCTGAAAAAACTGGCCAGTGAAAACTTCACGAATAGCAGCGGAACACTGTCTGGTACAGTGCCATAAGATGAGCCCCTCGGGTTGGAAGGCACTCAAGATATGACTGGGTAAGAGCTGCCTCCTCAAAGTAGAGTCGACCTTAACGATGTGGATAGAATCAAGCTTTCGGGACCCTGAATTTGCTGTGGCACAACTCAAAATGAGAAGAAATAGCTGCAAACATCCATTAATAATTGAAACATGGAATGTACAAAGTATGATTCTAGGAAAATTAAAACCAAAATTGAAACCTGTTGCCATAGAGTCAATTCCGACTCATAGCGACCCTACAGGACAGAGTAGAACTGCCCCATAGGGTTTCCAAGGAGCAGCTGGTGGATTTGAACTGCCAACCTTTTGGTCAGCAGCTGAACGCTTAACCACTGCACCACCAGGGCTCCCTAGGAAAATTGGAAGTCATCAAAAATGAAATGGAACACATAAACATTGATATCATAGGCATTAGTGAGCTGAAATGGACTGGAATTAGCCATTTTGAATCAGATAATTATATGGTCTACTGTACCAGGAGTGACAAGTTGAAGAGGAATGGCATTGCATTCATCATAAAAAAGAACATTTCAGTATCTATACTGAAGTACAACGCTGTCAGTGATAGGATAAAATCCATACGCCTACAAGGAAGACCAGTTAATATGACTATTATTCAAATTTACACACTACTAATGCCAAAGATGATAAAATTGAAGGCTTTTACCAACTTCTGCAGTCAGAAATTGATCAAATATGCAATCAAAATGCATTGATAATCACTGGTGAGTGGAATGCAAAAGTTGGAAACAAAGAAAAAGGATTGGTAGTTGGAAAACACAGCCTTGGTAACAGAAATGCTGCCAGAGAGCACATGACAGAATTTTGCAAGACCAATGACTTCTTCATTACAAATACCTTTTTTCACCAACATAAATGGCGACTATACATGTGGACCTCACCAGATGGAATACACAGGAATCAAATTGACTACATCTGCTGAAAGAGATGATGGAAAAGCTCAAAATCATCAGTCAGAACAAGGCCAGGGGCCAACTGTGGAACAGACCATCAATTGCTCATATGCAAGTTCAAGTTGAACCTGAAGAAAATTACAGCAAATCCACGGGAGCCAAAATATGACCTTGAATATATCCCACCTGAATTTAGAGACCATCTCAAGAATAGATTTGACACACTGAACACTAACGACA